AAACAATTCCTCGAATGATCTCTGAAGGTACCCCCAATCAAACTTAAACCAGTTTGGGGCGACACAGCCCCATCGTTATTAAGAGCGACCCACCCCAAATCCGAAAGAGGGCCGACTTCGACAGTTGCATCTGAGGGAAAGTCATCGAACTTAGCTAGAAAATCAGCAGCCCTATTTGTTTCTCTATAGATTTTCCGAAAAAGAACAACCCAGGCTTGGTCAAGAAGGCGAGCGATAGCTCGAACAGCAGTAAACGGACTCGATAGCTAGAAAATCCGGAGGGCACCATTGAACATGTGAAGAGGTTTGCAGTCTGTGTGAACTCCGAATGGGCGCACAGTCATCGTAAAGTTTGCTCCTGGATATGCTGACTTGAAGTATAGCTTCCGGAAAAGGAGAGACATCTTGAAAAACGAGAAGATTTCGAGCCTTCCAAAGCTGCCAGACCAAGGAGGCGAAAAGAATGCACCAAGGGCCATTGGATGCGGCACAGCGGGAAAAATAACTAATATTTTCCATAAGCCAAGCTTCACGATCGAAATCAAAGAAAGAGGGAAAGGGGTGAGCTTGGAGGAGTCTCTGCCAAATGCTCCGAGCGGTGATGCAATCTCGAAGGATATGGAGAAAAGTTTCATTCTCGGCTGGACACAAACAGCAAGAGGAATCATTTCCCAGACCTCGTCGGTATCAGTTAGAGTTGGTGAACACTCTATTTCTGATGGCGAGCCATAGAAAACTCCTAATTCATTCCACAACATGTAAATGCCAAATTACAGACTAGCAAGGATTCGTAGCGGCCCAGGAAGAGGAGCATAAGGATTTACAAGGGCTTGAAACAGTGAAAATCCTCTTTGGTGAAACCGACCAATAAACAATATCCTAACCAATCGCCTGTATGGAGAGGTTGACAGAGGTCTTCCCATTTAACTAGAGGGATGGGATTAGTCGAGGAGGGGGAACCCCAAATAAAGCGCCTGACCATTCGCTCTATCTCATTATAGAGAGATTTCGGCAATATGCAAGCTTGCATAATGAAGGAGGGAACACAAAGAAGAACTGATTTTGCAAGAGTGACCCGTCCGGCGAAAGAAAGAGTTTTCGCAGACCATCCATCCAGTCTTTGGCGAATTCTGTCAAGGATAAAGTTGTAAAGGATGTCTACGTTGCAGCATGCACCATCAGTTCCATAGACTATCCTCGAACACTAGATTTTGTATCTGAGACCCCCGGGGAATGCATGCTCCATGAATCAGCTGGTAGCAATGTGGGAGGATAAAATGGGTGAAAAAACTCGAGAAGATTTATGTACAAGAAGGGGAGATTCTTTGGAGAATCAATGGTACGCGTAATGCACCATTATCGCAAAAGATTATCGAGAACTATTACTTGTTATAGCTTTTACTTGGATTTGTTTCAGTGGTAGATTGGTTCTTGTTCGGAATTTGCAGAGAGTTCATATCCGAAGAATATGGAGATGACTTTCATATATTCAGCGTTGATGGGAACAGCTCTATCCGCACTTGAAATTCACTTCTGTTAGTGAGCATTTAAACACCTTAGTGTGAAACTCTATCCCCCTACTTAAGTGTTTAACTCGAGTTAACATAGAATATAGTCGAGATTCATTTGACTACCGAGCATCCATCCCAAGTTAACTTCGAATATAATAGAGATTCATTTGATTACCGAGCATCTATCAAACATCTATGTAAGGTACAATTTAATAAAGTATTGGAGCTCTTTAGTCCTAACATTTGTATTAATTGTTTAATTCCATCCAAAAGTGTGCCTTTCAAAACTTAAGTTGCTTCAGTCATGCATGCGCGCTCCTTTGTTTCCCTTGCCCCCTGAAGCCTTGACAGATCCTTTACCTTTCCACGCTCTTCCGTTCTTTCCCTTCTTTGAACCACCTTTTCCTGGTTTTCCAGTTCCCCGTGCCCGGGCATCCTTTTTCATCCGACGATCAACAAGGACTTTCCCCTTGCCGCCCATAACTTGAACCCCTTTCCTCGCGACCACGTATTCCTTCTGGGGCTTTTTGGGCGTAGCCTTCTTGTAAAGTTGTTCGATTTGCTTCCCCTTTGACCGCTCGGAGATGTCGGCTTGGTTTGATATGATGTTTGCTTTCTGGCGGACCTTGTCTAGCTTTTTCATTGTAATCCGCTTCTTTCGAGCCTTTGCCTCTGCAACTTTCTTAACCGGTCGAGCATTTATCTCTTTGAATTGTGCTCGTATTGCAGCAATTTCTTCCTTTGTAACAGGCTTAATTGGTTGACAATGCCTCTTTTCCTCATCTAAGAACCACTTGGGTAGACCATCATCATGAAACATATATTTACCATACGCATCGTCGAGAATTTGATCCCTTTGCATTTTCCTGAGCATCTTCTTAGCACAAGCTAATACCTCAGCTTTCGTCTCAACATCATCATCTTCCGAGTCATCTGAGGACGAGTCATCACTGGAATCAGTAGCTGGAGCCAGGACAATCTCAAAATCATCCTGTGCATTGGAAGCCTGGAGTTTGGTGCTTTTGGGGCCTGCAGCATCGTTTGCTTTCTTTTCCTCGGCCTTGTTCGGAATATTGAGTTTTTCATCCTGTTTTTTCTTTACTTTGGACCTCTCTAGAATAGCTGCCCTTTCCTGTCGTTTATCGGTCTCCATTTCATCATCACTGTCATACTTCCCTAAATCCCCTTGCTCTACGGCTTCAGCAAAAATATCCTGACCGAACCACCTGTCTGTAATCTCCTCCTGAGTTGGTCCTTCCCCGTCATCTAGCAGTATCATAAGAGGATTTGCTTCAGGATCAGCCTCTTCCATTTCCGAAACATGATCAGAAAAAATAATATCACCATCACCACCCTGAACAGCCATGAACGGAAATTCAATAAACAATATTCAGCTTTTATTAACAACTATTCGTCATTATCTATTGAAAGCATAAATAAATAAGGGAATGACACTAGCACCGCGAAAACAGGATTTCTATTAACAAAAGAGAAGCATAGGGAAGTAGTACTTGATGCAGAAAAGAGGAGTCTGTTAACACTTATTAGTTAAAGTTTCTACAAAAGATCAAATATTTTTTAGTTCTAAATTCTAATACACACTTTAAGAGCTTCATACCTCTAACTTGTCATAGGCTTCTTTTGCACGCTTCCTCTGCTTCGTACTTCCATCCTTTTTCGACACATACTCTTCATACGCGTGATCAAGGATTTCTTCTATTTTTTCATCATATCTAGCATTAAAATTACAAGGTTAACAAACAGAGAATGTTAGAAATTATATATATATATATATATATATATATATCAGTCATGAGAAGCAGATACTAACCTTCTGCGTTCTTCATCAGAATCGATATCACTGGATGACTCATCCTCGGTGCTTTCTTCTCGGTTTTGTTCATCTTCGCTACCCCTCAGATCAATGTTGCCACCATCATACTCGGTGGAATCAACTGCCGCAAGATCTTTCTTACCCTAAAGATGGTAATTGACTGACATCAATGAATGTTTCTACCAAAGTATAAAGCTTAAAAGACAACCTAAGTAACTTTTCAGGAAATATCAAAGAACCACAACTGTAAGCAACAGTTTAGTATTGCACAGTAACGCATGCCAGAGCATTGTTTCCATTAACAAAGTGTAAGTAAACCGAAACGATGTTAAGAATAAAACTTGTCTCAGTTCAGAAACAGTATATTAATAATCAATAAGGTTAAACATCAACTATGCCCCTGGTTCAAATGACATAACTGCAGCCTTGTGATGAGTGTCAGTTTTGGTCTTTTATACTTGCAGTAATAAATTGTATTTTTACTAGTTACAACATTATTGGAGTTATCCAGTTCGCAGCCTTGGTAAAACAAACCTTAATGGAAGAAAGAGAGAACAACTCATGATCAACGTAACCATCTTCCAGGGCATCTATTTGTATTCCTGTTGCCTTCCGTGATTTGTCCTGCAAAATAACAAGGTACCAAATCAGCAAATAAACGAGTGCGCATCGAAACATCCTACAACAAAGTGGAACACCATAAATATCATCACCCCGAAAAGATGGAAGCGTAATTCTTTCAAAAAGATTACCAGGCATCATTTAATCATTATATTGTGGATACATAATCATTGGTACAATCACAAAATTCGTTCCATTTGCATGGTAACATGCACTAAGACATAAACATAGGGATCAGATTTTTCTTAATAAGGCAATAAACCTTTGCTCGTCTTTTTGCAAGAAGCTTCTTTTCTCTTTTCTTCTTACGCTCCATGGAATATGTGAGCTCCTCCATCTCATTGAGTAATTTATCATCTTCGTTCTCCTCATCCCCTTTATCATCATCTTTAGCAGTGGTAGGCGTTGGAGGAGTAGCCTTTTCTGAAGGAGACAGAGCTTTTCTCAATTGCATCCGCCACCTAAATCAAGGTAATCAATACACATCACATTCATGCACATAAATCTAACATATTTTCATCTGATGAACAATAGGAATTCAAATCAAGCTCCTCTCAAAAGATCAAGGACCCAGTGCACTGATTATAGCTTAACTTTCACATATTTTCATATTGCCACAAATTGTTTAGACTAGAAAACTCAAAAGGGAAAATCTGAAAAGGATTATGTTTCTTACTTCAAAAGATGCTTGAAATCCTGCTTTCGTAGAACTCGCAAATCATCACAAAGAGCTTTGACCTGTCAATAAAGCAACAAAGTAAGTAATGACAAGTATTAAAGAAGGTAATGATTAGCAATACTATAAAAGATAATCACCTCTTCTGTGGTAGAACTGTGATCCTTAATAGGCAATGAAGCTGGATCCCCAAAGGTTATGGTAGTAACTGAACCTAGGATTTCGAGAGGAGAATCAGACCAAATGAAATCAGAAGCAGTAGACATCTTCTTTGAGATTGTCTCCCCGTCTTCATAACTGAAATTGGCATGTACTTAGAAACAAAGCATAACATAAACCTTAAAACCAGATAGCAGAGGAATCAATTCAATAAAAATGTTCAATCATTATCAACAAAGCAGTAACATTGCTGTATGATAAAGGGAAAACTTACCCATCACGGTGTCTCTTCTGTTTTGTTACCCTAAGTACATCAATCACCTACATCAAGTATGTGGCAGAAAGAACAATAATGAGCAGAGATACAATCAATAGGATAACAAAAGTAGTCAGTTAAGAGATTTTGAAACCTAAAATGAAATTAAAAAACCTTCTTTTGTGGTTCTATCGATCCCTGAAACAGATGTTTGAAATCAAGAAGGCGTGGATCAATCTTTGCCGGGGCTTTATACCTTAGCCCCAAAACATAAGTCTCAGCTGATTTTGGGCGACTAGCATGTGGTTTCCAAACTTTAACCTCCTCAAACAGCTGCAGACCAAACCAAACACGCGTGTCAAAGGAAAAAAACAAAACTTCACAGAGAGATATATCCTATGGTTTTGTTTATCACCTGCTTGAGACAATATAGAACGGAACTGTAATCTTGGGACCTAAAAACCTTGGTGACAAAGGTGCCTTTAGGGGCCAAAAACTGGGTAGCCAGCTTAACAGAATCAATAACCAAAGTATTTTGGCTCATTTTTTCTTGAGCCCAAGAACCACCAACATTAGGGGATCCATCATGCAAAACGACATCAAAAGCCATAACCCTGTGCTCTTCCATGACTCGTTTAACCTTGGACTTGCAATCGGATTTGGTTATGTCTTGTTGGAGAGCGATGGCACCTCGTATAGGAGCAATGGGAACAAGATCAAGACCGAGTACAAGGCTGCCGATGGGTGTATGTTGCACGGCCACTTGCATCCAACCACCGGGAGCAGCACAAAGGTCGAGGACAGCATGCGCTGATTTTAGAAATCTAAAATTGTCATCCAGTTGTACTAACTTCCATGATGCTCTGGAACGGTAGCCGTGTTCTTTGGCTAACTTATAGTAGATATCTAATCTATGCTTCCCTTTCACTTTACCCATATTACCTCTTCAATTAAATCCAAATTAAACGCCAAACAGCTGGTGGAGAAGAAGGAAAAGGGAAATATGGAACGTTAAAATGAGTTTTTTTTAATTCTCCCAAACACAAAGGCCTAATCCCTAAACCAAAAATAACTAAACCTATTCAAAATAATATATATCTTCTCAAAAAAGCAAAATAAACAAAGGGAGACAGAGTAACAAACAGAATCATCAAAAAACAGAAAATCACAGAGCAATGCACAAACAGAGGCAGAAATCAAATATCCTCCATGGTCTTCTTCACCTAATACATTGAGCTCTTTCTCCAACTCATTTATCAACCGAAGATTCACTACTATTTCCAAAGGTAACTACGATTTAAATGACTAATGAAATACCCTCAATATCTTATTAATCTTGACATGCACCCTCATAACAAACATGCCCTCAATATCTTCTTAACCATCATAAGAATTACATATAAACATACCTTCATAACGTCTCAAATAGCAGTGTAATAGAAAAATAGATAATCGAGAGTTTAAATACACAGTCCTTCTCGACAAAGTAAACCAGTAGGACCGAAAATAGAAAATCAAATATAGCAGAGCAATGTAGATGCATATTGAATATAATCAAAATCTTATGACCCAAAGTAGAAATCAATATCCAGGTTAAGCTTGGGTCAGAAGAGGAGAAGAAGACGAGTGAATAGGTTTAAAAAATTTACCTTAGGGTTTGGGTCAGAAGAGAAAAAGACGAAACAATAGGTTTTTAAAGAAAATTAGAAAAAATGGCCTATATATAATTTTAGGATAAACTACGGATTAGTACCTAAACTATTAGTTTTGGTCGATTTTAGTATCTAAACTTTCAATTCAGTTTCAAAATCATACCTAAAAGATTGATTTTTTCCCAAGTTGCAACTTGCAAGGGAATTACCTAATGAAGCAGAAGACAAACACTTGGAAGTTGGAACAAAGCATAGGAACATCAAACCCAAGAATCCCAAAGGAACATTAACAAGGTTTTTCGAATCAACTCGAAGAAACAATAAAAAGCGAGATTTGCTCAAGAAGCAACCAATAGAAACTAAATATCCAAATCCATAGGCATGTTGGAGAGAACCAAAAAAGAGCTAACTTTACCATTCCAATAACCCAAGAGAAGTAAGGGTGGCAGCTTTTGGAGATTGGATTCAAAAGAAGATGATATATCAAAAATTCCAAAATTTGAAGTAATTAGTACAAATTACGAAATAAATAAGAAAAATTAACCTAATCTTCTCACATCCAAGATGATTGAAACCTATGGATCGTATTAGATCTAAGCATCGACAAATCCTTCAAACAGAAACAGTTATATACAGTTTAAATAAATGAAAAGCGGATTGATGATAATCACTGGACTGCAATGATAAACAAAAATATTAAATAAAAAAAAGGAAAAGGATTTACCCAGAGGATCGGAGAATAGATGCGAAAGACTTCGTTTTTTCTGTTCTGCTACTGAGAATTCACTTCGGGACAGCAGCCGATATTTATTTTGCACTTCACCGTTTTGACCTCACGTATTTTTAGTAAATTCATCGTTTTGCCCTCAATTATTTTCAAATTACGGGAAGGTCCCCAAAAATATACTCCTACAATTTAAGTGTAGTTCAAGTCTTTCACAAGTGAATTTTGTTAAATGAGATAAACTTTACTTTTAGTCCTTGTGTTTGGTAATTTTTAAATAATCTTTAAATGTGTTTATATACGTTAGCTTTTTAATCAAACTTTAAACTCAAAAACTAATATTAAACAAGATCAAACCTCTAATTTTAAGCTTAATTGATCAAGTTCAAAGAATGTTATATTTTCATATTTAAATATTAAATATAATTAATGCTCGTACCATCCTAGTTTAAGATTTGCACTATAGAATTATTAGACAGTGAAATTCCAACATCGGTCATTTGTATTATACGTAAAGTTATATATTAATTCCCATACTTTTATTTAGTCAAAATTAACCTCTAGACTTTTAAATTTTAAAATTTTAGTCAAGACTCAAATGACACGAAAAATTAAATTACAACTCCTAAAAATAACCAATTAAAGTAAAAAAAATTAAACAACTTACATATAGTTTAGAGACTAATAACGAATTAAAATTTTGGTTTTTTATAATTTCATTTTGGCCTAATTCAAACGTAAACAAACCACCCCAACTCCGAACTTGACCTAAACTCGAAATGATATGAATACGTAATGATAATACCTTGAAAACACGAACCTCAACCCCAAATGACCTAAACTCAACAATTCTAAATTGAAATTGACCCGAATCAAAATGACCCCAAAATATAAAACCCGAATTAACCAAAAACTAGATTGACCTGACCCGCCCAAGCCCAAGCACATTTGACGTATAATTCCACTGATGAGAAACCACTCATTTCAAAGCAAAACCTCTCCTATTGTTATATAAGCTATTGTCAGCTATTCTTGCCATGCATTTTAAATCAGTATGAATATAATCCTCCATATCTATTTATTTGAAGTTAGGATGAAGATAAAATGCTATACAAAATCTGCATGTTTTATGCTTACAAGGGGACTTTCTAATCATCAATGCCTTCGAGTCGCTTGATGATTGCTTACCATTGTTTCTTTCCTTTATTCTTTCTCTTGTTTCCGTTACCGCTACCTCCGCCACCGCCCATATTGCTACCGCCAGTCTTCAAACCACTTCCAGGTTTGGCAACTGGGCTCTCTGCAGAGGTGCTACCTATAAAATCGTCAAACATGCCTGCTTGTACTGCGTTCTGTAACCACTCTACGAATAAACAAAAAATCAAATATAGAAGAGAAATGCACAAACAGAGGCATAAATCAAATATCCTCCATGGTCTTCACCTAATACCTTGAGCTCTTTCTCCAACTCATTTATCAACCGAAGATTTACTACTATTTCCAAAGGTAATTATGATTTAAATGACTAATGAAATGCCCTCAATATCTTCTTAATCTTAACATGCACCCATCATAACAAACATGCCCTCAATATCTTCTTAATCCATCATAAGAATTACATATAAACATACCTTCAATAACGGTCTCAAATAGCAGTGTAATAGAAAAATAGATAAATCGAGAGCTTTAAATACACAATCCTTCCCGACAAAGTAAACCAGTAGGATCGAAAGTAGAAAATCAAATATAGCAGATCAATGTAGATGCATATTGAATATAAATCAAATCTTATGACCCAAAGTAGAAATCAAATCAGTTAAGCTTGGGTCAGAAGAGGAGAAGAAGACGAGTGAATAGGTTTAAAAAATTACCTTAGGTTTGGGTCAGAAGAGAAAAAGACGAGACAATAGGTTTTTAAAGAAAATTTGAAAAAAATGCCTATATATAATTTTAGGATAAACTACGGATTTAGTACCTAAACTATTAGTTTTAGTCAATTTAAGTATCTAAACTTTCAATTTAGTTTCAAAATCATACCTAAAAGTTTTATTTTTGTTTCATTTTAGTACCCTCCGTTAAAAAAGTTTTGGTACCAAAACTTTCAAATCAGTCGGATTATCATACTTTTTAGAATCCAAATTTTATGTTTTTCTTTCTTATTTTATTTCGCAACTTCTAAATTTTTTTACTCCACAAAATGCTTCTTTTATCTAATAATTTTAATGATAAAACTGAACTACTTCAATATTTAAACGTTATTATGCTTCATTTAAAATCTATATGAAGGTAGATGCGGTGCACAAAGAGGAGAACTAGCCAAGTGAAAACAAAACGCGTGAAAGGCTAGGGTTTTTGTGCTCTCCTAAAAGTTTTGGTCTAATTAATATACGAGCCCTTGTATTCTCACGTATTTTCATATGTTGTCCCTTGTTTTCCTCTCTTTCAATTTGGTCACTAAATGTTTCTTTACTATTTTTGATCGTGGCTCACTGTTTTGTTTTAGTACAATTTAGTCATCATTTTATGCTATTATGTTTTATTTGATAATATATTTTTGTTGTTATATTTTATTTGAAAATGCCATTTAATTATATATATATATATATATATATATATTATGAGAAAAAATAAATTTTTTGAACATTTTGTTTTTTATAATAATAATTATATTTTATCATTATAATTAAATATATGGCTGCAAACATAATTTTTTACAAAAAAAACTTAAATTTTTTATTAATTTAAAAAAATGAAAAAAATTTGTGATACTTTTTCTATAATAATAACTATTACATATAGTTACAAAACTTGTCACTATATAACATTTTTGCACCAAAAAATAGGAAGAAATATTTCTAATAGTATAAATTTTCATAATGATTAAAATATACAATACAAAAATAATTAATTACAAAAAAACTTAAATTTTATTAATTACAATATATTTTGTTACTATATAACTTTTTTGACACTAAAAATAGAGAGAAATGGTTCTGATAGTATAATTTTTTATAATGATTAAAATATATAAGTATAAAAATAATTAATTACAAAAAACTTGAATTTTATTATTTTATGTGATAATTTTTTCCTATAACAATAACTATAAATTATAATAAAAATTGTCAATATAACTTTTGAAACAAAAAAGTGGAGAAAAATAATTATTACAATATATGCTATAACTAAAATTTACAACTAAATATAATTTGTCACAAAAACGTGAATATCATTATTTTTGTGGTAATATGTTTTTATAATAATTATTAACAGTTATTTTTGTGGCTTTATTTGGGGCTCCCCTCCTCGACTAATCCCATCACTCTAGTTAAATGGGAAGACCTCTGTCAACCTCTCCATACAGGCGGTCAGGGCCTTCATCGAATAAATTTTCAGAACATTGCTATCCTCTTCAAAATTTTCAGAACATTGCTATCCTCTTCAAAATTTGCAATGATCTCATTATCCCCTCGATTTTCTGGATCTTCCTCATGCGAGAGAAATAAGATCACTGAACTATGCCCATTTTTGATCTACCATTCCCTTGTTCTAATCCGTGGCGTAGTTTGGCAAACGTATAGCGTTCTTTCTACACCAATTTGGCTTGGTCAGTGGGTGACGGGCGCTCTATTAATTTTTGAACTGATAATTGGGTTCCCCCGATTGGCTCACTCCTCAACGTTGCAATGACTAACTTTTCGATGGATGTTTCCTTAACTGTTTCTGATATGTCTTCAGATGGTTGCTGGGATTGGGATCTTTTGAACACTCTCTTGGACCCGACAGCTATTCATCATATGAGAAATATTATTGCTCCATCTTTTGCGGTTGGTTAGGATATTGTTTATTGGTCGGTTTCACCAAAGAGGATTTTCACTGTTTCAAGCCCTTATAAATCCTTATGCTCCTCTTCCTGGGCCGCTACGAATCCTTGTTAGTATGTAATTTGGAACGAACTAGGAGTTTTCTATGGCTCACCATCAGAAATAGAGTGCTCACCAACTCTAACCGATACTGACGAGGTCTTGGGAAATGATTCCTCTTGCTGTTTGTGTCGAGTCGAGAATGAAACTTTGCACCATATCCTTCGAGATTGCATCACAGCTCGGAGCAATTGGACGAGACTCCTCCAAGCTCACCCCTTTCCCTCTTTCTTTGATTTCGATCGTGAAGCTTGGCTTATGGAAAATATTAGTTATTCTTCCCGCTGTGTCGCATCCAATGGCCCTTTGTGCATTTTTTTCGCCTCCTTGGTCTGGCAGATTTGGAAGGCTCGAAATCTTCTCGTTTTTCAAGATGTTTCTCCTTGTCCGGAAGCTATACTTCAAGTCAGCATATCCTGGAGCAAACTTTACGATGATTGTGCACCCATTCGGAGTTCACACAGACTGCAAACCTCTTCACATGTTCAATGGTGCCCGCCGGATTTGGGGTGGGTCGCTCTTAATAATGATGGGGTTATGTCACCCCAAATTGGTTCAAGTTCGATTAGGGGTTCGATGACCTTCCCTCAAATGCAACTGTCGAAGTCGGATGTATTGGATCCCATTCAAAAAATAAAAAATAAAAAGAAAAACAAAAAAAGAATAATAATATGTGGTCCTATACCCTTTCTTGTGAACCTTTATTTCTTTTCACTTTAATTTCGGTATGATGTATAATAGTTATTACTATTATTATTATTTATATTTAAAAATAATAATATCCTTTAATTAACTACTGAATTAATTGTGTCATATGTCCCCAAAATATTATTCTTATTTTAAATTGGTTCCTAAACTTTTAAATATTTTAATCCATCCTTAAACTATGACTCCAATCTAAATTTGTCCTTAAACTTTTGAATATTTTAATTTCATTACTACACTATGACCCCCTTTTTAAATTAGTCCCTAAACTTTTGAATATTCAAATTTCATCCCTAAATCCATACATATATGTGATTATTTTCAACCACAATTTAATCTAAATTTTTTAACATATAATAATATAACTTGGCCTAACGATTTTACTAACAAAGGACCTGATTAGTGAATATATATAGTTTTAGATGAAATTGGAATGTTCAAAAAGTTTGGGGACCAATTTAGAATGAAAGTCATAGTTTGAGATGAAAATGAAATGTTTAAAAATTTAAGAACTAATTTCAAATGATAATCATAATTTAGAGGTGAAATTAAAACATTTAAAAATTTAGAGATTAATTTAAAATAAGAATCATGCTTTGAAGACATATGATGCAATTAATTCTTTTTCAATCTATTGATTATAATTTTAATTTATGAGTATCTATAATTGTAGGATTAACAGTATTGTATAATAAATACAACTTTGCTGGCACCCATTTGTCAGATATATAAAAAGTTAGGGTAAATTACATACAAGGTCACTTAATTACATACAAATTATAGATATATCACTCAATTAAAATATTATTACAAATAAGTCAGCTCGTCGTTAAATATTAGATAGAATAGTGACATATAATAATAATTAATACTTCAATTTTATATATTTTATTAATTTAGTCCTATTATAAAATAATAAAATATATTTAACCTTTCATATTAAAATCTTATGATTTTAGTATTTGTTCTTTTAAATTGTTTGTTTCTCTTTGAAATATATGATTATTTTTTCCTTAATTTCATAATATAATAATATTTTAACAATCTTCCTCTCCTTGCTACGCATGCAACGGTCCTTATCTGCCTTAACAGCAGGTGCATCCCATGCTGGTGCCCATGCTCTTTGCTGTTGGTGACCATGCTTTCACCGTACCTGTCAGCAAGTTTCTCACAAGCAAATTAGAAAAGAGTAGAACAAGGAGAAACAAGAGGAAGAAAAAAAGATTTTTCATTTAATGAATTTTTTTTAAGGATCAATTAAAGATATTTTAAAAGTATACTCTTTTGGACTTGTGCTTAAATATAATAGCACCAGATAGCACTTCAATTAAACTCATTTTGTACAAATAAGCACACCTTTTATGCCTATAGACTATGTTGACCCTCCAAAAATACATGAAAACACTTTTTTTTTATAATGCACCTATGTCATACCATAAATCCGTATCTGACACTTGTGTCAAATCTAAGTCTAAGCCTATAGAAACTTGTAGTGATTACATATTATAATTTGTTTCCAAATCTAACAATATTCAGGACTCCAAATTATGAAAAGAAATGATGGTTTGCAACTTCTCAGATTCAATGCTAGTGTACCTAAGTTGTCTTTTGTTTTACCCGCTTTATTACCATATTTGTTATCCTTTACTTCCATCTAGATTACAGCCTAACAACTTATAACAACACTCTTCTCATTGCAAAATTATATGCGCATTACAGTCGACGAGGCTCTATGCCACCCTTACTTGGCACCTTTTCACGACATCAACGTGGGCCTGTTTGCCCAAGGCCATTCAGTTTTGATTTCGAGCAACCATCTGTTACAGAAGAAAACATTAAGGAGCTCATCTATAGAGAATCTGTAAAGTTCAATCCACACCCAATTCATTGAGATTTATGTGTTTGTATGTGCCTCTGTTAAGTGTACCTAGCGACTCTCGTTTGCTGAAATATAAGTTGTAGGACTCGTCAGTCCCTTCTGAGATTCGAAAATTGCTAAACGACTCGTGGAAAATACTATTTAAATAGAATTGGAGTTTGTTAAAAAAAAGTGCAACATTCATCAAATTAGGCCAAGTATACTTCCAACACAGGAGAGCGATGTACAAATTAACAAATATACCTCAACATCTGTGACAACAGTTCCATCAAAGAGAATGGCATGAATTATTCTCATAACCTAAAAAGCAAACAAAAACAATACAAACCATGTTAACGAAAAAAAATCCCAAACTCTTTTAAGAATATGTTAACGAAAACGAATGAAAATTACATGCATGCATACATGTAGCAAACCATGAATGAAACACCAACAAAGATGATGAAGCATCAAAATGAATGGCAGACATACCAGTTTTGTAGTTAGGAATAGTTGAACCTTTGAAGAGGAGGAGAGGCGAAATGATGGGATCGTAGCATAGAAAATGGAGAAGATGAAAGGTAGATGAAAATGAAGGTTTCAAATTCATTATTTGCAAACAGGGGAGGCGAAATGAAGGTAGATGCGGCGCACAAAGAGGAGAACTGGCCAAGTGAAAACAAAACGCGTGAAAGGCTAGGGTTTTGTGTTCTCCTAAAAGTTTTGGTCTAATTAATATACTGGTCCTTGTATTCTCACGTATTTTCATATGTTGTCCCTTGTTTTTCTTTCTTTTAATTTGGTCACTGAATGTTTCTTTACTATTTCTGATCGTGGCTCACTGTTTTGTTTTAGTACAATCTAGTCATTTTATGCTATTATGTTATTTTTAATTAACTATTGCCTTTTTATTTTATTACATTTTAATCTCTGGTTCTTTTTATTTGCATTTAATTTGTTGGATAATTTATATTCTTCTCAATGTAGTCATAGAATCTTAGATCAAATCCTTAGGTTTAGATTTCTTTTAAATAAATCCCTACTAGTTAGACATAATATCAAAGAAAAAACTCGTTGTTTTATTTTTGCCTTCACGATGAAAGAAGAAATATAAAGTTGGAATAATGGACTGAAACGATTAAATTGAGGGTTCTAAAAAAGTATTTATAAAATAAATACAAATAAATTTCTTTAAAAACCAGTTTCCCTTTAAAAATTAATTTCCTTTAAAATCAAATAGAGAGAAATTTCCCTCCTAAATAAAACCTAGGTACCCGTATTTCGAGTCATCGATACCTGATTAATATTTATTTAATTTATATTAATTTCAAAAAAAATACGTAAGGCTCTTGTACATTTTAAAAAAAAAACAATTTGGCCATCAAATTATTGTTGCATTCAATGCAACCCTCAAACTTAGAAAAAAACAATTAACGTGACCCTTTAACCAACAACTTCTATCATTAACCATTATGAAACTATATAATAACAAATATTAAAAATAGTTATACAACTAAGAAGAGTATTGTAGTGAATATAACATGATATACGGAAGTAAACTTTACCTAAACTTAATGTAAAAAATCTAATAGGAAATTTACCCAACTATGGTTAATATATATTGTTCAAGACTTACACGGACCGCCTTACCTGAGGGCTTAAGTTAGCTTGTTGATTCTTAATTCAATATATATATTGTTCAATTTTTTAACAATTTAATTTTCATTTTTACTATTTTTTATATTTTATTTTTTGTGTATTTTAGATTTTAAATTTAAAATAATGATTTTTTAATAAATAAACAAGCCCCTCAACTTTTTGATAATATATTTTTGTTGTTATATTTTATTTGAAAATGCCATTTAATTATATATATATATTATCAGAAAAAATAAAATTTTTGAACATTTTGTTTTTTATAATAATAATTATTTTATCATTATAATTAAATATATAGCTGCAAACATAATGTTTTACAAAAAACTTAAATTTTATTAATTTAAAAAATGAAAAAAAATTATGATAATTTTCTATAACAGTAACTATTACATATAGTTACAAAACTTGTCACTATATAACATTTTTGCACCAAAAAATAGGGAGAAATATTTCTAATAGTATAAGTTTTCATAATGATTAAAATATATAACTACAAAAATAATTAATTACAAAAAACTTAAATTTTATTAATTACAATATATTTTGTTACTATATAACTTTTTGACACTAAAAATATAGAGAAATAGTTCTTATAGTATAATTTTTTTATAATGATTAAAATATATAAGTATAAAAATAATTAATTACAAAAAACTTGAATTTTATTATTTGATGTGATAATTTTTTCCTATAACAATAACTATAAATTATAATTATAAAAATTGTCAATATAACTTTTGAAACAAAAAAGTGGAGAAAAATAATTATGACAATATATGCTATCACTATAACTAAAATTTATAACTACAAATATAATTTGTCACAAAAATGTGAATATCATTATTTTGTGGCAATATTTTTTTATAATAATTATTAACACTTATAGTTACAATATTTGTCAATATATGATTTTTTTGGCGCAAAAAATTTGGAGAGAACTCTTTGTGACAATATATTTTGTCATTATAATTAAAACATATAATGAAAAATATTTTTTACTAAAAACTTGAATTTCATTATTTGTTGTGACAATTTTTTTTGTAACAATAATTATAACTTATAATTACAAATCATGTCACTATATGATTTTGTTTTTGTACAAAAAATTGGAGATAATCATTTATGACTATACATTTTGTCACTATAATTAAATATATAATCACAAACAAAATTTGTCACAACAAATCTAAATCTCATTATTTGTTGTGACAATTTTTTTGTCATAATTACTAAAACTTTTAGTTGCAAAATTTGTCACTATATGCCTTTAATTTGGCGCCAAAAAATTGGAGGGAAACATTTGTGATAAAAATTCGTAATAAAATTTATTTTGTCAGTATATGTTACACATATTTTCTAATCGTGACAAATTATTATGACGATTTTAGCTTTTGTCATAATTGTATATCTTTTTTTAATTTAATGCGACGATTATTTATTTTGTCACCAAAAAGCTATTAATAGTGACAAAATTAATTTTGACAAAATTAAATTTGTCACAATAGTAGAAATTTCTTGTAGTGCCATAATTAGTTTTATATGTCACAATTTGAATCGTTGTGAGAATGGAACACCAATTTTTTAACACTAATTTGAGGGGGAAAAAGAATCATATACCGATTTGAAAAGGGATAAAAACTTCAGGTGTCAACTTGTATATAAGTTAAAATATTTGTTAGGAATTAAACTTTGATTTTGATGTTTTATTCAAATAAAATTATGGGTAAACTACACATTCAGTAACTAAGTTATCAGTTTTGGTCCGTTTTAGTATTTATACTTTCAATTTTTTCAAAATCATACCTAGTGTTTAATTTTTATTTCATTTTAGTACCCGACGTTAAAAACTTAACGTGTTTAGTACCTAAACTATCAGTTTTGGTATATTTTAATACCCAAAGTTTCAATTTTTTCAAAACTTAACGTTAAAACTTGAACGATATACTAAAATAAAACAAAAATTAGAGTTTTTAACGGAGGAGTACTAAAATAAAACTAAAATCAAACTTTAGGTATGATTGAAACTGAATTGAAAGTTTAGATACTAAAACCGAACAAAACTAATAGTTTAGGTACTAAATCCGTAGTTATCCTGAAAATATATATATGCCCCTTTTTCTAATTTTCTTTAAAAACTATTGTCTCGTCTTTTTCTCTTCTAACCCAAACCCTAAGGTAGATTTTTTAAACCTATTCACTCGTCTTCTTCTCTTCTCTTCTCTTCTGACCCAAGCTTAACTTGAATGTTGATTTCTACTTTGGGTCATAAGATTTTGATTTATATTCAATATGCATCTACATTGCTCTGTTATATTTGTTTCTGTTTCAGTCCTACTGATTTACTTTGTCGAGAAGGACTGGTATTTAAAGCTCTCGATTTATCTATTTTCTATTATACTGCTATTTGAGACCGTTATTGAATGTATATTTATATGTAATTCTTATGATGGATTAAGAAGATATTGAGGGCATGTTTGTTATGATGGGTGCATGTCAAGATTAAGAAGATATTAAGGGTATTTCATTAGTCATTTAAATCGTAATTACCTTTGGAAATAGTAGGCGTTGGAGGAGTAGCCTTTTCTGAAGGAGACAGAGCTTTTCTCAATTGCATCCGCCACCTAAATCAAGGTAATCAATACACATCACATTCATGCACATAAATCTAACATATTTTCATCTGATGAACAATAGGAATTCAAATCAAGCTCCTCTCAAAAGATCAAGGACCCAGTGCACTGATTATAGCTTAACTTTCACATATTTTCATATTGCCACAAATTGTTTAGACTAGAAAACTCAAAAGGGAAAATCTGAAAAGGATTATGTTTCTTACTTCAAAAGATGCTTGAAATCCTGCTTTCGTAGAACTCGCAAATCATCACAAAGAGCTTTGACCTGTCAATAAAGCAACAAAGTAAGTAATGACAAGTATTAAAGAAGGTAATGATTAGCAATACTATAAAAGATAATCACCTTTCTGTGGTAGAACTGTGATCCTTATAGGCAAGCTGGATCCCCAAAGGTTATGGTAGTAACTGAACCTAGGATTTCGAGAGGGAATCAGACCAAATGAAATCAGCAGCAGTAGACATCTTCTTTGAGATTGTCTCCCCGTCTTCATAACTGAAATTGGCATGTACTTAGAAACAAAGCATAACATAAACCTTAAAACCAGATAGCAGAGGAATCAATTCAATAAAAATGTTCAATCATTATCAACAAAGCAGTAACATTGCTGTATGATAAAGGGAAAACTTACCCATACGGTGTCTCTTCTGTTGTTACCCTAAGTACATCAATCACCTACATCAAGTATGTGGCAGAAAGAACAATAATGAGCAGAGATACAATCAATAGGATAACAAAAGTAGTCAGTTAAGAGATTTTGAAACCTAAAATGAAATTAAAAAACCTTCTTTTGTGGTTCTATCGATCCCTGAAACAGATGTTTGAAATCAAGAAGGCGTGGATCAATCTTTGCCGGGGCTTTATACCTTAGCCCCAAAACATAAGTCTCAGCTGATTTTGGGCGACTAGCATGTGGTTTCCAAACTTTAACCTCCTCAAACAGCTGCAGACCAAACCAAACACGCGTGTCAAAGGAAAAAAACAAAACTTCACAGAGAGATATATCCTATGGTTTTGTTTATCACCTGCTTGAGACAATATAGAACGGAACTGTAATCTTGGGACCTAAAAACCTTGGTGACAAAGGTGCCTTTAGGGGCCAAAAACTGGGTAGCCAGCTTAACAGAATCAATAACCAAAGTATTTTGGCTCATTTTCTTGAGCCCAAGAACCACCAACATTAGGGGATCCATCATGCAAAACGACATCAAAAGCCATAACCCTGTGCTCTTCCATGACTCGTTTAACCTTGGACTTGCAATCGGATTTGGTTATGTCTTGTTGGAGAGCGATGGCACCTCGTATAGGAGCAATGGGAACAAGATCAAGACCGAGTACAAGGCTGCCGATGGGTGTATGTTGCACGGCCACTTGCATCCAACCACCGGAGCAGCAAAGGTCGAGGACAGCATGCGCTGATTTTAGAAATCTAAAATTGTCATCCAGTTGTACTAACTTCCATGATGCTCTGGAACGGTAGCCGTGTTCTTTGGCTAACTTATAGTAGATATCTAATCTATGCTTCCCTTTCACTTTACCCATATTACCTCTTCAATTAAATCCAAATTAAACGCCAACAGCTGGTGGAGAAGAAGGAAAAGGGAAATATGGAACGTTAAAATGTTTTTTTTTAATTCTCCCAACACAAAGGCTTAATCCCTAACCAAAAATAACTAAACCTATTCAAAATAATATATATCTTCTCAAAAAAGCAAAATAACAAAGGGAGACAGAGTAACAAACAGAATCATCAAAAAACAGAAAATCAACAGAGCAATGCACAAACAAGGCAGAATCAAATATCCTCCATGGTCTTCTTCACCTAATACATTGAGCTCTTTCTCCAACTCATTTATCAACCGAAGATTCACTACTATTTCCAAAGGTAACTACGATTTAAATGACTAATGAAATACCCTCAATATCTTATTAATCTTGACATGCACCCATCATAACAAACATGCCCTCAATATCTTCTTAATCCATCATAAGAATTACATAAACATACCTTCAATAACGGTCTCAAATAGCATGTAATAGAAAATAGATAAATCGAGAGCTTTAAATACACAGTCCTTCTCGACAAAGTAAACCAGTAGGACCGAAAATAGAAAATCAAATATAGCAGAGCAATGTAGATGCATATTGAATATAAATCAAAATCTTATGACCCAAAGTAGAAATCAATATCCAGGTTAAGCTTGGGTCAGAAGAGGAGAAGAAGACGAGTGAATAGGTTTAAAAAATTTACCTTAGGGTTTGGGTCAGAAGAGAAAAAGACGAAACAATAGGTTTTTAAAGAAATTAGAAAAAATGGCCTATATATAATTTTAGGATAACTACGGATTTAGTACCTAAACTATTAGTTTTGGTCGATTTTTAGTATCTAAACTTTCAATTCAGTTTCAAATCATACCTAAAGATTGATTTTTCCCAAGTTGCAACTTGCAAGGGAATTACCTAATGAAGCAGAAGACAAACACTTGGAAGTTGGAACAAGCATAGGAACATCAACCCAAGAATCCCAAAGGAACATTAACAAGGTTTTTCGAATCAACTCGAAGAAACAATAAAAAGCGAGATTTGCTCAAGAAGCAACCATAGAAACTAAATAATCCAAATCCATAGGCATGTTGGAGAGAACCAAAAAAGAGCTAACTTTACCATTCCAATAACCCAAGAGAAGTAAGGGCGGCAGCTTTTGGGATTGGATTCAAAAAGATGATATATCAAAATTCCAAAATTTGAAGTAATTAGTACAAATTACGAAATAAAATAAGAAAAATTAACCTAATCTTCTCACATCCAAGATGATTGAAACCTATGGATCGTATTAGATCTAAGCATCGACAAATCCTTCAAACAGAAACAGTTATATACAGTTTAAATAAATGAAAAGCGGATTGATGATAATCACTGGACTGCAATGATAAACAAAAATTAAATAAAAAAAAAGGAAAAGGATTTACCCAGAGGATCGAGAATGATGCGAAAGACTTCGTTTTCCTTCTGTTCTGCTACTGAGAATTCACTTCGGGACAGCAGCCGATATTTATTTTGCACTTCACCGTTTTGACCTCACGTATTTTTAGTAAATTCATCGTTTTTGCCCTCAATATTATTTTCAAATTACGGGAAGGTCCCCAAATAATATACTCCTACAATTTAAGTGTAGTTCAAGTCTTTCACAAGTGAAATTTTGTTAAATGAGATAAACTTTACTTTTTAGTCCTTGTGTTTGGTAATTTTTATAATATAATCTTTAAATGTGTTTATATACGTTAGCTTTTTAATCAAACTTTAAACTCAAAACTAATATTAAAACAAGATCAAACCTCTAATTTTAAGCTTAATTGATCAAGTTCAAAGAATGTTATATTTTTCATATTTAAATATTAAATATATATTAATGCTCGTACCATCCTAGTTTAAGATTTGCACTATAGAATTATTAGACAGTGAAATTCCAACATCGTCATTTGTATTATACGTAAAGTTATATATTTATTCCCATACTTTATTTAGTCAAAATTAACCTCTAGACTTTTAATTTAAAATTTTAGTCAAGACTCAAATGACACGAAAAATTAAATTACAACTCCTAAAAATAACCAAATTAAAGTAAAAAAAATTAAACAACTTACATATAGTTTAGAGACTAATAACGAATTAAAATTTTGGTTTTATTATAATTTCATTTTGGCCTAATTCAAACGTAAACAAACCACCCCAACTCCGAACTTGACCTAAACTCGAAATGATATGAATACGTAATGAAATACCTTGAAAACAACCTCAACCCCAAATGACCTAAACTCAACAATTCTAAATTGAAATTGACCCGAATCAAAATGACCCCAAAATATAAAACCCGAATTAACCAAAAACTATTGACCTGACCCGCCCAAGCCCAAGCACATTTGACGTATAATTCCACTGATGAAAACCACTCATTTCAAAGCAAAACCTCTCCTATTGTTATATAGCTATTGTCAGCTATTCTTGCCATGCATTTTAAATCAGTATAATCCTCCATATCTATTTATTTGAAGTTAGGATGAAGATAAAATGCTATACAAAATCTGCATGTTTTATGCTTACAAGGGGACTTTCTAATCATCAATGCCTTCGAGTCGCTTGATGATTGCTTACCATTGTTTCTTTCCTTTATTCTTTCTCTTGTTTCCGTTACCGCTACCTCCGCCACCGCCCATATTGCTACCGCCAGTCTTCAAACCACTTCCAGGTTTGGCAACTGGGCTCTGCAGAGGTGCCTATAAAATCGTCAAACATGCCTGCTTGTACTGCTTCTGTAACCACTCTACGAATAAACAAAAATCAAATATAGAAGAGAAATGCACAAACAGAGGCATAAATCAAATATCCTCCATGGTCTTCACCTAATACCTTGAGCTCTTTCTCTCAACTCATTTATCAACCGAAGATTTACTACTATTTCCAAAGGTAATTATGATTTAAATGACTAATGAAATGCCCTCAATATCTTCTTAATCTTAACATGCACCCATCATAACAAACATGCCCTCAATATCTTCTTAATCCATCATAAGAATTACATATAAACATACCTTCAATAACGGTCTCAAATAGCAGTGTAATAGAAAAATAGATAAATCGAGAGCTTTAAATACACAATCCTTCCCGACAAAGTAACCAGTAGGATCGAAAGTAGAAATCAAATATAGCAGATCAATGTAGATGCATATTGAATATAATCAAAATCTTATGACCCAAAGTAGAAATCAATATTCAGGTTAAGCTTGGGTCAGAAGAGGAGAAGAAGACGAGTGAATAGGTTTAAAAAATTACCTTAGGTTTGGGTCAGAAGAGAAAAAGACGAGACAATAGGTTTTTAAAGAAAATTTGAAAAAAATGCCTATATATAATTTTAGGATAAACTACGGATTTAGTACCTAAACTATTAGTTTTAGTCAATTTAAGTATCTAAACTTTCAATTTAGTTTCAAAATCATACCTAAAAGTTTTATTTTTGTTTCATTTTAGTACCCTCCGTTAAAAAAGTTTTGGTACCAAAACTTTCAAATCAGTCGGATTATCATACTTTTAGAATCCAAATTTATTTTTCTTTCTTATTTTATTTCGCAACTTCTAAATTTTTTTACTCCACAAAATGCTTCTTTTATCTAATAATTTTAATGATAAAACTGAACTACTTCAATATTTAAACGTTATTATGCTTCATTTAAAATCTATATGAAGGTAGATGCGGTGCACAAAGAGGAGAACTAGCCAAGTGAAAACAAAACGCGTGAAAGGCTAGGGTTTTTGTGCTCTCCTAAAAGTTTTGGTCTAATTAATATACGAGCCCTTGTATTCTCACGTATTTTCATATGTGTCCCTTGTTTTCCTCTCTTTCAATTTGGTCACTAAATGTTTCTTTACTATTTTTGATCGTGGCTCACTGTTTTGTTTTAGTACAATTTAGTCATCATTTTATGCTATTATGTTTATTTGATAATATATTTTGTTGTTATATTTTATTTGAAAATGCCATTTAATTATATATATATATATATATATTATGAGAAAATAAATTTTTTGAACATTTTGTTTTTTATAATAATATTATTTTTATCATTATAATTAAATATATGGCTGCAAACATAATTTTTTACAAAAAAAACTTAAATTTTTTATTAATTTAAAAAAATGAAAAAAATTTGTGATACTTTTTCTATAATAATAACTATTACATATAGTTACAAAACTTGTCACTATATAACATTTTTGCACCAAAAATAGGAAGAAATATTTCTAATAGTAAAATTTTCATAATGATTAAAATATACAATACAAAAATAATTAATTACAAAAAAACTTAAATTTTATTAATTACAATATATTTGTTACTATATAACTTTTTTGACACTAAAAATAGAGAGAATGGTTCTGATAGTATAATTTTTTATAATGATTAAAATATATAAGTATAAAAATAATTAATTACAAAAAACTTGAATTTTATATTTTATGTGATAATTTTTCCTATAACAATAACTATAAATTATAATTATAAAAATTGTCAATATAACTTTTGAAACAAAAAAGTGGAGAAAAATAATTATACAATATGCTATCACTATAACTAAATTACAACTACAAATATAATTTGTCACAAAAACGTGAATATCATTATTTTTGTGGTAATATGTTTTTTATAATAATTATTAACAGTTATTTTTGTGGCTTATTTGGGGCTCCCCTCCTCGACTAATCCCATCACTCTAGTTAAATGGGAAGACCTCTGTCAACCTCTCCATACAGGCGGTCAGGGCCTTCATCGAATAAATTTTCAGAACATTGCTATCCTCTCAAAATTTTCAGAACATTGCTATCCTCTTCAAAATTTGCAATGATCATTATCTCCCTCGATTTTCTGGATCTTCCTCATGCGAGAGAATATAAGACTGAACTATGCCCATTTTTGATCTACCATTCCACTTGTTCTAATCCCGTGGCGTAGTTTGGCAACGTATAGCGTTCTTTCTACACCAATTTGGCTTGGTCAGTGGGTGACGGGCGCTCTATTAATTTTTGAACTGATAATTGGGTTCCCCCGATTGGCTCACTCCTCAACGTTGCAATGACTAACTTTTCGATGGATGTTTCCTTAACTGTTTCTGATATGTCTTCAGATGGTTGCTGGGATTGGATCTTTTGAACACTCTCTTTGGACCCGACAGCTATCATCATATGAAAATATTATTGCTCCATCTTTTGCGGTTGGTTAGGATATTGTTTATTGGTCGTTTCACCAAAGAGGATTTTCACTGTTTCAAGCCCTTATAAATCCTTATGCTCTCTCCTGGGCCGCTACGAATCCTTGTTAGTATGTAATTTGGAACGAACTAGGAGTTTTCTATGGCTCACCATCAGAAATAGAGTGCTCACCAACTCTAACCGATACTGACGAGGTCTGGGAAATGATTCCTCTTGCTGTTTGTGTCGAGTCGAGAATGAAACTTTGCACCATATCCTTCGATTGCATCACAGCTCGGAGCAATTGGACGAGACTCCTCCAAGCTCACCCCTTTCCCTCTTTCTTTGATTTCGATCGTGAAGCTTGGCTTATGGAAAATATTAGTTATTCTTCCCGCTGTGTCGCATCCAATGGCCCTTTGTGCATTTTTTTCGCCTCCTTGGTCTGGCAGATTTGGAAGGCTCGAAATCTTCTCGTTTTTTCAAGTTTCTCCTTGTCCGGAAGCTATACTTCAAGTCAGCATATCCTGGAGCAAACTTACGATGATTGTGCACCCATTCGAGTTCACACAGACTGCAAACCTCTTCACATGTTCAATGGTGCCCGCCGGATTTGGGGTGGGTCGCTCTTAATAATGATGGGGTTATGTCACCCCAAATTGGTTCAAGTTCGATTAGGGGTTCGATGACCTTCCCTCAAATGCAACTGTCGAAGTCGGATGTATTGGATCCCATTCAAAAAATAAAAAATAAAAAGAAAAACAAAAAAAGAATAATAATATGTGGTCCTATACCCTTTCTTGTGAACCTTTATTTCTTTTCACTTTAATTTCGGTATGATGTATAATAGTTATTACTATTATTATTTATATTTAAAAATAATAATATCCTTTAATTAACTACTGAATTAATTGTGTCATATGTCCCCAAAATATTATTCTTTTTAAATTGGTTCCTAAACTTTTAAATATTTTAATCCATCCTTAAACTATGACTCCAATCTAAATTGTCCTTAAACTTTTGAATATTTTAATTTCATTACTACACTATGACCCCCTTTTAAATTAGTCCCTAAACTTTGAATATTCAAATTTCATCCCTAAATCCATACATATATGTGATTATTTTCAACCACAATTTAATCTAAATTTTTTAACATATAATATATAACTTGGCCTAACGATTTTACTAACAAAGGACATGATTAGTGATATATATAGTTTTTAGATGAAATTGGAATGTTCAAAAGTTTTGGGGACCAATTAGAATGAAAGTCATAGTTTGAGATGAAAATGAAATGTTTAAAAATTTAAGAACTAATTTCAAAGATAATCATAATTTAGAGGTGAAATTAAAACATTTAAAAATTTAGAGATTATTTAAAATAAGAATCATGCTTTGAAGACATATGATGCAATTAATTCTTTTTCAATCTATTGATTATAATTTTAATTTATGAGTATCTATAATTGTAGGATTAACAGTATTGTATAATAAATACAACTGTGCACCCATTTGTCAGATATATAAAAGTTAGGGTAAATTACATACAAGGTCACTTAATTACATACAAATTATAGATATATCACTCAATTAAATATTATTACAAATAAGTCAGCTCGTCGTTAAATATTAGATAGAATAGTGACATATAATAATAATTAATACTTCAATTTTATATATTTATTAATTAGTCCTATTTATAATAATAAAATATATTTAACCTTTCATATTAAAATCTTATGATTTTAGTATTTGTTCTTTTAAATTGTTTGTTATTCTCTTTGAAATATTATATGATTATTTTTCCTTAATTTCATAATATAATAATATTTTAACAATCTTCCTCTCCTTGCTACGCATGCAACGGTCCTTATCTGCCTTAACAGCAGGTGCATCCAGCTGGTGCCATGCTCTTTGCTGTTGGTGACCATGCTTTCACCGTACCTGTCAGCAAGTTTCTCACAAGCAAATTAGAAAAGAGTAGAACAAAGAGAAACAAGAGGAAGAAAAAAAGATTTTTCATTTAATGAATTTTTTTTTAAGGATCAATTAAAGATATTTTAAAAGTATACTCTTTTGGACTTGTGCTTAAATATAATAGCACCAGATAGCACTTCAATTAAACTCATTTTGTACAAATAAGCACACCTTTTATGCCTATAGACTATGTTGACCCTCCAAAAATACATGAAAACACTTTTTTTTTATAATGCACCTATGTCATACCATAAATCCGTATCTGACACTTGTGTCAAATCTAAGTCTAAGCCTATAGAAACTTGTAGTGATTACATATTATAATTTGTTTCCAAATCTAACAATATTCAGGACTCCAAATTATGAAAAGAAATGATGGTTTGCAACTTCTCAGATTCAATGCTAGTGTACCTAAGTTGTCTTTTGTTTTACCCGCTTTATTACCATATTTGTTATCCTTTACTTCCATCTAGATTACAGCCTAACAACTTATAACAACACTCTTCTCATTGCAAAATTCATATGCGCATTACAGTCGACGAGGCTCTATGCCACCCTTACTTGGCACCTTTTCACGACATCAACGTGGAGCCTGTTTGCCCAAGGCCATTCAGTTTTGATTTCGAGCAACCATCTGTTACAGAAGAAAACATTAAGGAGCTCATCTATAGAGAATCTGTAAAGTTCAATCCACACCCAATTCATTGAGATTTATGTGTTTGTATGTGCCTCTGTTAAGTGTACCTAGCGACTCTCGTTTGCTGAAATATAAGTTGTAGGACTCGTCAGTCCCTTCTGAGATTCGAAAATTGCTAAACGACTCGTGGAAAATACTATTTAAATAGAATTGGAGTTTGTTAAAAAAAAGTGCAACATTCATCAAATTAGGCCAAGTATACTTCCAACACAGGAGAGCGATGTACAAATTAACAAATATACCTCAACATCTGTGACAACAGTTCCATCAAAGAGAATGGCATGAATTATTCTCATAACCTAAAAAGCAAACAAAAACAATACAAACCATGTTAACGAAAAAAAATCCCAAACTCTTTTAAGAATATGTTAACGAAAACGAATGAAAATTAACATGCATGCATACATGTAGCAAACCGTGAATGAAACACCAACAAAGATGATGAAGCATCAAAATGAATGGCAGACATACCAGTTTTGTAGTTAGGAATAGTTGAAAACCTTTGAAGAGGAGGAGAGGCGAAATGATGGGATCGTAGCATAGAAAATGGAGAAGATGAAAGGTAGATGAAAATGAAGGTTTCAAATTCATTTATTTGCAACAGGGGAGGCGAAATGAAGGTAGATGCGGCGCACAAAGAGGAGAACTGGCCAAGTTGAAAACAAAACGCGTGAAAGGCTAGGGTTTTTGTGTTCTCCTAAAAGTTTTGGTCTAATTAATATACTGGTCCTTGTATTCTCACGTATTTTCATATGTTGTCCCTTGTTTTTCTTTCTTTTAATTTGGTCACTGAATGTTTCTTTACTATTTCTGATCGTGGCTCACTGTTTTGTTTTAGTACAATCTAGTCATCATTTATGCTATTATGTTTTATTTTTAATTAACTATTGCCTTTTTATTTTATTACATTTTAATCTCTTGGTTCTTTTTATTGCATTTAATTTTGTTGGATAATTTATATTCTTCTCATGTAGTCATAGAATCTAATTTTAGATCAAATCCTTAGGTTAGATTTCTTTAAATAAATCCCTACTAGAGTAATTAGACATAATATCAAAGAAAAAACTCGTTGTTTTATTTTTTGCCTTCACGATGAAGAAGAAATATAAAGTTGGAATAATGGACTGAAACGATTAAATTGAGGGTTCTAAAAAAGTATTTATAAAATAAATACAAATAATTTCTTTAAAAACCAGTTCCCTTAAAAATTAATTTCCTTTAAAATCAAATAGAGAGAAATTTCCCTCCTAAATAAAACCTAGGTACCCGTTTTCGAGTCATCGATACCTGATTAATATTATTTAATTTATATTAATTTTCAAAAAAAAATACGTAAGGCTCTTGTACATTTTAAAAAAAAAACAATTTGGCCATCAAATTATTGTTGCATTCAATGCAACCCTCAAACTTAGAAAAAAACAATTAACGTGACCCTTTAACCAACAACTTCTATCATTAACCATTATGAAACTATATAATAACAAATATAAAAATAGTTATACACTAAGAAGAGTATTGTAGTGAATATAACATGATATACGGAAGTAAACTTTACCTAAACTTAATGTAAAAAATCTAATAGGAAATTTACCCAACTATGGTTAATATATATTGTTCAAGACTTACACGGACCGCCTTACCTGAGGGCTTAAGTTAGCTTGTTGATTCTTAATTCAATATATATATTGTTCAATTTTTTAACAATTTAATTTTCATTTTTACTATTTTTTATATTTTATTTTTTGTGTATTTTAGATTTTAAATTTAAAATAATGATTTTTTTTAATAAACAAGCCCCTCAACTTTTTGATAATATATTTTTGTTGTTATTTTATTTGAAAATGCCATTAATTATATTATATTATCATAAAAAATAAATTTTTGAACATTTGTTTTTTATAATATAATATATTTTTCATTATAATTAAATATATAGCTGCAAACATAATTGTTTTACAAAAAACTTAAATTTTTTATTAATTTAAAAAATGAAAAAAAATTATGATAATTTTTCTATAACAGTAACTATTACATATAGTTACAAAACTTGTCACTATATAACATTTTTGCACCAAAAAATAGGGAGAAATATTTCTAATAGTATAAGTTTTCATAATGATTAAAATATATAACTACAAAATAATTAATTACAAAAACTTAAATTTTATTAATTACAATATATTTTGTTACTAATAACTTTTTGACACTAAAAATATAGAGAAATAGTTCTTATAGTATAATTTTTTTATAATGATTAAAATATATAAGTATAAAAATAATTAATTACAAAAAACTTGAATTTTATTATTTGATGTGATAATTTTTTCCTATAACAATAACTATAAATAATTATAAAAAAATTGTCAATATAACTTTTGAAACAAAAAAGTGGAGAAAAATAATTATGACAAATATGCTATCACTATAACTAAAATTTATAACTACAAATATAATTTGTCACAATGTGAATATCATTATTTGTGGCAATATTTTTTTATAATAATTATTAACACTTATAGTTACAATATTTGTCAATATATGATTTTTTTGGCGCAAAAAATTTGGAGAGAACTCTTTGTGACAATATATTTTGTCATTATAATTAAAACATATAATGAAAAATATTTTTTACTAAAAACTTGAATTTCATTATTTGTTGTGACAATTTTTTTTGTAACAATAATTATAACTTATAATTACAAATCATGTCACTATATGATTTTGTTTTTGTACAAAAAATTGGATATAATCATTTATGACTATACATTTTGTCACTATAATTAAAATATATAATCACAAACAAAATTTGTCACAACAAATCTAAATCTCATTATTTGTTGTGACAATTTTTTTGTCATAATTACTAAAACTTTTAGTTGCAAAATTTGTCACTATATGCCTTTAATTTGGCGCCAAAAAATTGGAGGGAAACATTTGTGATAAAAATTCGTAATAAAATTTATTTTGTCAGTATATGTTACACATATTTTCTAATCGTGACAAATTATTATGACGATTTTAGCTTTTGTCATAATTGTATATCTTTTTTTAATTTAATGCGACGATTATTAATTTTGTCACCAAAAAGCTATTAATAGTGACAAAATTAATTTTGACAAAATTAAATTTGTCACAATAGTAGAAATTTCTTGTAGTGCCATAATTAGTTTTATATGTCACAATTTGAATCGTTGTGAGAATGGAACACCAATTTTTTAACACTAATTTGAGGGGGAAAAAGAATCATATACCGATTTGAAAAGGGATAAAAACTTCAGGTGTCAACTTGTATATAAGTTAAAAATATTTGTTAGGAATTAAACTTTGATTTTGATGTTTTATTCAAATAAAATTATGGGTAAACTACACATTCAGTAACTAAGTTATCAGTTTTGGTCCGTTTTAGTATTTATACTTTCAATTTTTTCAAAATCATACCTAGTGTTTAATTTTTATTTCATTTTAGTACCCGACGTTAAAAACTTAACGTGTTTAGTACCTAAACTATCAGTTTTGGTATATTTTAATACCCAAAGTTTCAATTTTTTCAAAACTTAACGTTAAAACTTGAACGATATACTAAAATAAAACAAAAATTAGAGTTTTTAACGGAGGAGTACTAAAATAAAACTAAAATCAAACTTTTAGGTATGATTTTGAAACTGAATTGAAAGTTTAGATACTAAAACCGAACAAAACTAATAGTTTAGGTACTAAATCCGTAGTTTATCCTGAAATTATATATATGCCCCTTTTTCTAATTTTCTTTAAAAACCTATTGTCTCGTCTTTTTCTCTTCTAACCCAAACCCTAAGGTAGATTTTTTAAACCTATTCACTCGTCTTCTTCTCTTCTCTTCTCTTCTGACCCAAGCTTAACTTGAATGTTGATTTCTACTTTGGGTCATAAGATTTTGATTTATATTCAATATGCATCTACATTGCTCTGTTATATTTGATTTTCTGTTTTCAGTCCTACTGATTTACTTTGTCGAGAAGGACTGTGTATTTAAAGCTCTCGATTTATCTATTTTTCTATTATACTGCTATTTGAGACCGTTATTGAATGTATATTTATATGTAATTCTTATGATGGATTAAGAAGATATTGAGGGCATGTTTGTTATGATGGGTGCATGTCAAGATTAAGAAGATATTAAGGGTATTTCATTAGTCATTTAAATCGTAATTACCTTTGGAAATAGTAGGCGTTGGAGGAGTAGCCTTTTCTGAAGGAGACAGAGCTTTTCTCAATTGCATCCGCCACCTAAATCAAGGTAATCAATACACATCACATTCATGCACATAAATCTAACATATTTTCATCTGATGAACAATAGGAATTCAAATCAAGCTCCTCTCAAAAGATCAAGGACCCAGTGCACTGATTATAGCTTAACTTTCACATATTTTCATATTGCCACAAATTGTTTAGACTAGAAAACTCAAAAGGGAAAATCTGAAAAGGATTATGTTTCTTACTTCAAAAGATTCTTGAAATCATGCTTTCGTAGAACTCGCAAATCATCACAAAAAACTTTGACCTGTCATTACAGCAACAAAGTAAGTAATGACAAGTATTAACGAAGGTAATGATTATCAATACTGTAAAAGATAATCACTTCTTTTGTGGTAGAACTGTGATCCTTAATAGGCAATGAAGTTGGATCCCCAAAGGTTATGGTAGTAACTGAACCTAGGATTTCGAGAGGAGAATCAGACCAAATGAAATCAGAAGCAGTAGACATCTTCTTTGAGATTGTCTCCCCGTCTTCATAACTGAAATTGGCATGTACTTAGATACAAAGCATAACATAAACCTTAAAACCATATAGCAGAGGAATCAATTCTATGAAAATGTTCAATCATTATCAACAAAGCAGTAACATTGTTGTATAATAAAGGGAAAACTTACCCATCACGGTGTTTCTTCTGTTTTGTTACCCTAAGTACATCAATCACCTACATCAAGTATGTGGCAGAAAGAACAATAATGAGCAGAGATACAATCAATAGGAGAACAAAAGTAGTCAGTTAAGAGATTTTGAAACCTAAAATGAAATTAAAAACCTTCTTTTTTGGTTCTATCAATCCCTAAAACAAATGTTTAAAATCAAGAAGACGTGGATCAATCTTTGTTATGGCTTTATACCTTAGCCCTAAAACATAAGTCTCAACTGATTCTGGGCGAATAGCATGTGGTTTCCAAACTTTAACCTCCTCAAACAGCTGCAAACCAAACACGCGTGTCAAAGGAAAAAACAAAACTTCACAGAGAGAATATCTTATGGTTTTGTTTATCACCTGCTTGAGACAATATAGAATGGAACTGTAATCTTAGGACATAAAAACCTTGGTGACAAAGGTGCCTTTAGGGGCCAAAAACTGGGTAGCCAGCTTAACAGAATCAATAACCAAAGTATTTTGGCTCATTTTTTCTTGAGCCCAAACACCACCAACATTAGGGGATCCATCATGCAAAACGACATCAAAAGCCATAACCCTGTGCTCTTTCATGACTCATTTAACCTTGGACTTGCAATTGGATTTGGTTAT